GGGGGTGGTGGTGGGGGTGGGGGTGGCGACAATGGTGGTGATGGTGGTGGTGGTTGTAGAGATAGTGGTGGGACGGTTTCAAATATTATTATTTTTTTTAAAGTACTTATGAGAAATAATTTTTAGAAATACTTTTAAAAAATCACTCCAAACACACTATTAGGACCTTATTTTTCCTATTAAATTTAGGGTGTTAATATTAACCGTTAGATTAACTTTAAAGTAAAATTTAAAGCGATCTCAATCACAAATAGTAAAAGTCATTTTGTTTATCTTTTGAAATTTGAATTGTAAGCTACTTTATTATATAAATATTACACACAAATTTGTTAGGTTTGTAGACGTGNTTTTGAGATTAAATTGTAAGTTATTTTATTATATAAATATTACACATAAATTTGTTAGGTTTGTAGACGCGTAACAATTAGATTTCTACCGTTAATGTCCGTTAACATATTTTATTAATAAATTACACTTAAATCCTTTAAAATTTGTAGACGTATAATACTTAGACCTTTTAAATTTAAAATATTACACTTAGATCGCTTATTAGTTATAAAATTAACGAAATCTATTAAATAACCAAATTGTTTCAATTAAAAATAGAAATATTGTGTCAATTACAGTTTGATAATTTGTTTGGTTTTTAAAATTTTTTCTAGTAGATAGTATAATTATATGTAAATAAGTATTGAAATGAGTATTAATTATAATTTTCTTATATTCACACTACTAATTATGATTTTTGACATCAACAATATTTATTATGATTTAAAAAAAAATTAATTGTAAAATTTAAAATATTTAATATTTAATATTTTATTTTTAATTATAATATTGTTAATTTAAATATAATATTTTAAACTTAAAAAATGTAAGTATTGTACACTTTAAATTTCAATGTTTGGATATAATTTAGTATCAAATATACTAGGACATTAACGGCAAGAGACAATNTAAGTATTGTACACTTTAAATTTCAATGTTTGGATATAATTTAGTATCAAATATACTAGGACATTAACGGCAAGAGACAATGTACTACGCGTGTGCAGATCTCATGGATCTTACGGGCCTAGATGTAATTTTCTCTTTTTCCAATTACAGGTTTCTTGTTCTTTTCAGACAGGCTTCGCTACATTTTCCCCGTGGATATTCCTGGGAAACAAATACTGTACGGGTCAATAGTCGCACTTTTTCTCTCTCCTCTCTTTCCAACTTCCTCTTCTACCCCTTCACCGCATATGCTTTCAACGTTACTTTCTTCGAACCCCACCTCCAGTTTCCGAGTCTTCTACCAATCTCGCATAGTGGGGTTTAGCGGAAAATATCCGCCAAACAGGCTCACCTCGTCGTCTTCCGTCACTCTTTCTTCAGATTCAACGAATACCCAGAAAGCTTTAGCAGCTGATTTTGCTTGAATTTTCTCTTTCTGACTCCAATTCTGTCCACAATGGGTTGTCAATGGAGCAAAACAACTGAAAATAGTACTCAACCATCGTCCCGAATGAGCTCAAATTCAGTTGTCACGCCCGATCTGAGCTCATACGAGGCCGCATGCAGAGCCGATCCAGACCTTCAATCATTCGATTCGACTCTCCAGCAACGCAGCAGCCGAGTTATCAACACTCTTGCCTCTGGGGTCGAGGTTCGATCTCTTTCCATAGACTCTCTCCGAGAAGTCACCGATTGTTTACTCGAAATGAACCAGGAAGTTGTGAAAGTAATTTTAGATTGTAAGAAAGATATATGGAAGAACCAAGAACTCTTCGATCTAGTCCAAGACTATTTCGAGAACAGCCTTATGACTTTAGATTTCTGTACTGCACTTGAAAGATGTCTCAGAAGAGCCCGCGACAGTCAGGTCATTGTCGAACTTGCTTTAAAACAATTTGAGGAAGAACATAGAGAAGGGCTTCATAGTGAAAAGAGTTCGTACTCCAAGACTTTACACGAATTGAGAAGTTTTAAGATGTGGGGTGACCCATTTGACGATGAGTTTTTCTCGTTGTATCAATCGGTTCACAAACGACAAATGACTATGCTACTGAAATTGCAAGCTCAAATGAGTAAACTGAAGAGAAAATTGAAGAAACTGAAGGCATGGAGGAAGGTGTCAAATGTCATATTTGGTGTCACTTTTGTGGCGGTGTTGATCTGCTCGGTGGTGGCAGCGGCAATTGCAGCACCACCGGTGGTGACAGCATTGGCGGCTGCAGCGGCAGTGCCATTGGGTTCGATGGGTAAATGGATTAATTCAATTTGGAAGAAGTACGAGGATGAAATCAAAGGCCACAGAGAGATAGTTAGTTTGATGAATATTGGGACACTTATTGTGATAAAGGACTTGGAGAGCATAAGGGTGCTTGTGGATAAGTTGAAAATTGAAATTGATACTTTGTTGCAGAATGCTGATTTTGCCATGAGAGAAGAGGAGGCTGTTATGCTAGCTGTAGATGAGATAAGGAACAAGCAGGGTGTATTTATGCAAGCCATTGAGAACTTGAGCGAGCGGACTGCGAGGTGTACCCGCGATGTAACAAGGGCTAGGACGATGATCTTGCACAAAATTATCAAGCATCCTAGCAGTAGCAACTGAATTTGCACTTTGGTATGCTTTACTGGTGGCTAAGAACTTGCTAGTGATATTTAAATTTTATGCACTCATTCATATGGATTTTGATGCCCTTTATGAGAATTGTTGAAGTATCTTTGTTTCCGGACTTGCTTATACTTGTTGTCCATTGTATGTGCATTTATAGATTCCAAATGTTTTATGTGTTAGCTTATGCTAAACTTAAAGCTTTAGATGTCAAGTAGTTGGTTGATTAGGGAGCAAATAATGTGATTCGATAATCATGATGTTGATTATTGCCTAGTTAGCATGGTTGTTATGATATGTTATTTCCTGTACTAACCTTATGAAGGCAATAGATGGGACTCTAAAGTCCATTCTACGACAAGTAGACTTCCAACCTTGAAACATTTTATATGTCCTCATTCAGACTAGATTTTTTTCCTGGCCTGGACNGGGACTCTAAAGTCCATTCTACGACAAGTAGACTTCCAACCTTGAAACATTTTATATGTCCTCATTCAGACTAGATTTTTTTCCTGGCCTGGACCCGGTTCATGGATTAAGCTCAAACCATAAAAAGGCAGATCAGACTTAGTTCATGATTTCTATCTAGTCTAAAGTTCAAGAGTCCAGGAAGAGTCAACGCACGTGGGAGAACAATCATCAAGATAGCTTTGCCTCTAAGATAGTGACCATCTCCAATTGTAGTTATCCTCCACGATAAATTAGTAGTTTGACCCTCACGTCACCGTCTCAGTTAAGGTTCTGTAACTATAAATTGTAAACCCCTTACACATAGGGGCAGGACACTCCTCACCTTGAGAGATCTCACACACTTCACCTTGAGCGAACTCTTGCGCTCTTTCTCTCTCCAACTACCTTGTATTCTCTCATTAATAGAGTTCTCCGACTACCATTGCCGCCTTTAGTGGTTAGGTCACCCATACGCAACCACCTAATCTTTATTTCTTATTATTAATTATTTTATTAATTGCTTCACACCACATATTCGATTGTTTGATTGTGTATAAATTCACTTTTANAGTATGCGTTTTTTATCAGTTTAGTCCTCAATACATGAATTTTGTCATTTTTTGCGCTAAAATATTCAATACTTGTTTAATTAGTCCCTAACTAGACCCTTCAATATGTTTTTTGACAGAAGTGACCACGTGTCATTCCGTCAAATAATATCCACATATTAATCAAATATATATATAGGATCACGTGATCAGTACGTCATCACTTCTGTCAAAAACTTAACAAATTGTCTGCGTATGGATCATTTAAACATTAAATAAATATTTTATGACAAACTTTATATAATGANTCAGTACGTCATCACTTCTGTCAAAAACTTAACAAATTGTCTGCGTATGGATCATTTAAACATTAAATAAATATTTTATGACAAACTTTATATAATGAGGACCAAACTAACAAAGCATGCATATTTTAGAGATTAAAAGTGTTATTAGCCCTAAAATATAATATGTTACTCTGTATTTTTAAAGAATATTAAAATTCTAAAATCCATGCTTTGCTTAGAAATACGCTATATTTGTTTTTTGTATAAACTCATAATAAAAGACAAAAAGCTTATAGTAATTGAAGAACTATGTTAATTTAACATAAATTATTTAAAAAAAAACTACGTAAAAGATTATTTTTTATCTTAAAAATAAAATGGTTGAAATTTTAGATGAAAAAAAAATGCACACATGTTAGTATAATGTTATTTTATATTTAAATTGAGTAATGTTAGATTGATGAAATATTTGAAGATTTTTTTAACGTTTTATTGAAAACTATAGTGATGTATATATTTTTTAAAGGTAACATAATCAATAAAAAAATTTCAGAGATATTAATATTTATACATAATGAATAGAGAATTAAAATAAATGTTAATAGTAATTCGGAGATTTAAACACAACCGTATATGATGGTAATTTAAATATTCAACTACAGAAGAATAGTGTAATATTTAAAATTTTTTATAAGAGTAAAATAATGAATCAAACGTTTTTCATGGTAAGGTACTTTTATTGATAGTATAGATATAGATAGATGAAAAAAAAACATACATTTCATGTAGGTAGATGAAAAAAATATAATGTTATCATTATATTTGAAATGAGTAATGATCTATTGATGAAGTTTTTGAAAAATTTATTGAAAACTATAATGATGCATACATTTTTTTAAGGGTAACGTAGTTAATTAAAAATTTTCATAGATATTGATATTTATATAAAGATAATAAATAATTAAAAGATATGTTAGAGGACAATTTGAACATTTAAATATACTAGTTGTTGTCCACGTGCGTTGCACGTGAATCAGTTTAGGTAACAAATAAATTCATGTTTCACAATTTTACTCTAAGGGATACCTTCAAACATTCAACTTCCAAATAATCGAAAATTTAAAACAAAAATTTTTAATCATTTTTTCATTGCGTGCATTCTCTCACCAAAGAAACTAATCCCAAAAAGTACTCATTAATCAAATACAATCGAATGACTTGCAATCTCATATAAGTACCCAAGAAATGGCATCCAATTCATCCTTGAAGGACCGAACTATATGCTTCTTGCTCTATGTGGTGGGTATGGAGCAGTACCGACAACTATAGAATATCCGTTTCCCCCATGGTCCCACTTGCAAATATATTTTGGCATGAAGAAGGAATACCACCATCGATAGAATGCCAATATATTCAATTGATAAACATTAAAAATAACCACAATGTAACCATGAATAATAATAACAAAGAGACTGCATAAAACAATATGATATAAAAAAAAA